CAACAGGAGTAAGTATCCCCTTATCAATCCTCCAACCCACGGAACAAGGGGAAAGTCACTGCGCCTCAGCCCTTTCAGCCCTGCCAGCCATCCGCGCTCACGGACTTGACGTCGCTATTGACGCCTCACTTTCTCCTGAACAGCAGAGGTGCCTCAGGCCCTCAGGCCCACGTCGAACAGAAGGAAAAAATCCCAAATGGACCACATGCAGCACCAGCCCTCCAATCCAAAAAAAGAAGAAAGCAAGAAAAACAAGAGAAAAACCCAAGCTGCGCCGCGCGCGACTGGCTCAGACAAACTGCGGTCGTTTCCGAGAGTCGCCAAGGGCATCGCAAAACCCGCGTTTGTCCTTCGCGGGGTTTTGACTGCCTCGTTCCATCCCAAAGGCTCAGTGTTCTCTCGCGCGCAGTCTACTGTGTACGTGTGTATTCTTGTTCTGGCGGGTCTCGTTCTCAGCCCTTTGTTTGATGGCACCTTCAAGATGAGTCTACGAATATCGACGCTCGATCCGAACGAGCCCCGAGCACTCAAAGGTCAGTCGACAACAGTATTAGAATGCCGAGGTTCCAAGTCCATGTGTACAAAGTACTTGGTCTGGTGGTGCGATACGATACGTGAGACTAACTCATGGACCATGTCCCTTTACAGATTGTCGAACCTGTAATAGGCGACGGATCCGATGCGACCGATCATTGCCCACGTGTAAGAAATGCGCCCTCAAGGACCTGACCTGTCCTGGGTACGGCCTGAGGATTCAGTTCGGGCAGGGAGTGGCAAGTCGAGGCAAACTGACGGGCAAAACGCTGCCTGTCCTGGAACCAGCTCCTCCTCATCAGCCGCCACCGCCTGCGTCCTACACCAAGGATAGTCCCAAAAGAGCTGCCCCTGGCGAGTTCTTCGATTCACGAGATGATGGCCTCGACTCTTTCTTGCTCGCAGGGAACGAGCCAATCACTGTGCCATCCACTCTCCGCGATGCATTCCTACCCAGCCTCGACGAGACCACTCTCCACAATCCCTTTGCGCTAAATCTCGATCCGTCATCGTATGCGCTGCCTCCGTATCTCCAAGGTAGGCCGGTTAGACAGCTGGTCCTCTACTACGACCATGTGGTGGCTACGGTCATGCCCTGGGTCGATGGACCGGAGAATCCGTGGCGGACGGTGATGATTCCTCTTGCCATGCGTTCGCCTTCGCTGCTTCTGGCCCTCCTAGCACTGTCCTCTAGGCATTATAGTACCAGATCACAATCACCTTGGCCGGGGGACTACGACTTTGGGTCGAGCAAATACCGCGACCAAAGCTTGCGGCTCCTTGCCGAAGACCTGCGCACAGAGCTTGCAGAAGAAGCGAGTGTGGATCGTCACGCTCGAGCCAGCGGCATATTGGCCACCATCCTGGTTCTCTGCAACCTAGAGATGATCCGAAGCGACTCGGAAACATGGAGTGTCCATTGGAAAGCTGCCAGGACAATCACTCAGCGCTGGACGGACACCAACCTTGCAGCCACGGATCTCGATGAGACATGTCGCTTCCTGGTCAAAGAAGCCTTTGTCTACGACGTCTTTGGCTCATCCACCACGTTCGACGCTGACGGCCAGATCCCCGGCACGGTTTTGACCGAAGCGGACGCGCACGTCTTTACGGATTGGCTGCAGCTGGTCCAAGAAGTAACGTGCGCTGAAAGACGGCGTCATCACAATGCGTCGCCCAGCCAGGTTCCGCCAGACCTGGCAAATATGCGCATCCTGCAAGACAGGTTCGATTACGCACGAAATCGAACTCTGGAGTTCAGCAAGAGTCTTGAATTTGGCACACTGGGGTTGTATAGTGACTTTGTAGTACTGGTTGATATTTTTCACTACGCTGGGCTTGCATATAGCGTCCAGGCTCTCCTGGATCCCCAGGACTTTGCTCCCGTCATAGAAACCTGCATCAGCGGAGTCATGACGAAAATCGCCGAAATCCAGAACAAGGAGGCGTACCAGCACGACCTGGTATGGCCGTTATTTGTCGTCGGAACACAAAGCAGGCTGAACAAGAACACACAAGCGTTTGCCGATGCAAAGCTCCTTGAGGTGATGCAGTCGACTGGCTTCTCCAACTGCTACCCAGCGCTCAAGTTTCTCCGGCGCTTTTGGAAGAGCGATCCCCACGTCGTGGTTGACTGGATGCAATTCGCCCGACAGGAAGCAAGCCAGGGTTTGAATTTCCTGGTCATATAAGCCTCGACGCGGAACTTTGATGAGGAGAGAAAGGTCATCAAACATGCTGTTGAGTGGAGTGCCTGCCAATCCTGCAAGAATCAAGTGTCTGTCGATCACATATCGACCGTCTCTTCGTCTTCGACACCAAAGAGAACCCGCATTGGGTCTTGGTACTCCATGAAGCCTAGAGCAGGACGGCTGATTCCATATCCCAACAGTCTTTGTGCCTGAGGAGATAACCGCTTCGCCTTCTCAGGAGGCACCATCAGGAACTGATTCTCCGCCGGGCGGTAATAGGGCTTGCATAAGAAGATACCCACGGTCTCGCGAGACTGATCCCTATTCCGCCCGTTAGCCACGGAATTTGTGACGAGCTGCAGAAGTACTATGGACTTACTTGGTGATATTGGCGCCTCCGGCATGGTAAAGATTACCGACGAAGATGAAAGCATCCCCGGGTTCCAATTCGGCGGGAATTGCCTCGTGGTCATAAGGACAGCGATCAGGACCCCAGAGATGTGAACCAGGGATGGCGATGGTTGCCCCGTTCTCCGCCGTGGTCTTCGTCAACGCCGTCACGCAACCCAGCATCATGGGCATGTCACAGTTGCGAGTGTGATAATCACTGCCTCAAGAGTCAGCTATGGTTTGAGTGATTCGAGAGCAGACGCGGCTCACCCGTCATCGCGGTGCAGGGCTTGCTGCCTTCCACCAGGGTTTACTCGGAACCCGACAGTTGAGGATATAATAGGTTTGGCATATACCGTCTCTTTCTGCTGTCCGTTCCAGTATGTATACGTCGACGAGATCATCCTGTTGGCCACGTCGATATATGTGGGATTCGTTGCCAATTCAACGCAGCCATCGGACCGCGCCAGGAGGCCGGTAGCTCTCTGTGTCGTATGGGGGAAGAAACCCGAAGGATCGACCTTGTCTGTGTCGAAGTAGGGCTTCAGCTCGGTCTTGATTCGTGTAGCCAGTTCCTTTGAGATGAGGTTCTCCACAATAACACCGCCATCACGTTCAATGATTGACACGAGGAGATCTGTCGTCGTGGCCGGATCGTTGGCATCACAGCGTGCAAGTGTCGGTTTAGCCAGCTGCGCATTCGATACTTCAGTGGGCTTCTTGGACACCACAGGCGTCTGAGCCACATCCTCAACAGCGATGGGCGCCATGGTCCCTGTATGGAGAGCCCTTGTAAGAGCGGTAGAGCTGATGAATGGACAGCAATAACCAGGCTTCGATACAGCAGTGACTGTGGACAGACTTCGCAACGTCTTTCCAGCAACAGGGCGCAGAATAGATAGCATCAACCAAACACAAGGGGTTTACTTCGCCCTCAACTTGCGGCGCCCTCTAGGATATTTATACATATACCGAGTATAGTCGCATGTCACGACGTTGGGAAAAGGTTCGACTTCTCCTGTCTCCTGCCCAGGTTGGAACAGCGACAAGGCTAGCCTCTGAGGCCGTGGACTTCCCGGCCAGACTCCACGCTCCACGTCGTCTCTGCAAAGATGGGACTATTCATACAGAGATGCCCCAAAATAGCAGGTGACTTGAGAACGGGAGTCCAACTCTCCTTCCGCTTCCCGAGTCCCGGGCTGGGGAATTTCCGCTGGGTAAGCAGAGGGACACAAGATAGGTTGTCAGGGAATGTAATACCTCAACAGGCTGGTAGATGGAGACCTCTGGGAGGATTTTAACGCCTATCTTGAGGACATTGGTTTGAGTTCTCTTGGGCTGAGGAGATCTACTGTTGTTCTTATCCAATTCGACCACCCTTCCATTCGATCAAATCACACACAGCTTCAGAGAAACTTCGGTAGGGGAGGGACTTCTCCATCGACCAGCCTCATCGGGCAAGGGACGTATAAACCGGGGCCGACCCTTGCCCACAACTCAAGCCTGGTCTTACTCGGTTATGTCCTTTATGTACCTACCACTCCGGTACCTCACGCAGCAAACGCCAGCCAACGACCGCACAGTGGTCGCTGTTCCCTTCCGTACGAAGGATGGGTCACCGTACCGACGAGGGGATCTCCAGGCTCTGCGTTGTCAGTCAAGGTTTAATGGTCAACTCGACTCTCGTGCAGATTGGACTTGAGGGTCCTTCAAGACGAGAGAGACTGTCAGCAATATTTGGGCCTCGTTTGGCTCAGAACCAAATCTCAGGCTATCGAACCCCAGACTGACCAATGCGGCTCGTCCCATATTCTTTACAGATTATGGAGAACCACAATCAAAGTTTCACCAGAAAAGAAGGTCCATGCCAGATCTAGTCCTGCGATAAGGAAGGCAGGTCATAGTGTGGGACACACTCCTTTTACCGAGTGTCTATCATCAGCTATACACACACTGAGAGACGTGTGTTTCGCCTCTTTCCTCAGCCGTGGGCTATCTCGCCAATCCAGCATGCACAGCGCCTGATATGTTCCCCTCGGTCTACGATAGTGTGCATGATAAGCGTGCTACATGCCCAATGGATGCCAGGATCGGGATAACGAATCCTCGAGCCACATGGCTGTCGCAAGGGTAACTGCTATTGTTCATCGACTAAGCTAGCGAAGAGGGGGAGAGAAAACCACCCTGTGTTTGGTGGCTTGCACTTCCTCCGCAAGAGAAGGCTTGTTTAACTTGATATCAACTCCTCTCGGATTTCAGATGGTTTCTATCTGGTCTTTTCCTTCGCCACGGTGAGTCCCGTTCGCAGCACTCGTCTCTGTCTTTGCCTGTGCTCAGAGATTGGTTGGTCTTCGCCCCTCTCACCTCCTCACTCACCCGCTCAACATGAAGGACGAGACGATCGAGTACGTGGCGGAGGATCTGGACGCGACAACCACGCTGGAGGAGGCCAAATCTATCAACAGCGATGATGCCCTGCTCATGTCCATGGGCAAGAAGCCCGAGTTGCGACGGGTTTACAATTTCTGGACGCGTGAGTGTCTTCCGGACGGCAGTGCGTATGTACTTTGCTCACAACCGATCATAGTATGCGCATACCAGATCATGATATCGTGCAGCTGGTCGTGTCTGGTGGTCCTTTACTCGACCATCTTCGACGTTGGAGGCCCGTTTGCTCTGATCTGGGGCACGTAAGTAGCATCGAGTCTTTCTCCGGGACTGTTACGACATTGCGTTTTTGACAATTGATCTTCAGGCTTTTCGTCGCCGTAGGCAGACTCTCCTTATGATGTCCTTGGCTGAATACTGCACCATCTGGCCGACAGCAGGGGGTCAGCAATATTACGTCCAAGCCGTGGCAACCGGCAAGCTTCGTCCCATCTTGTCGTACCTCGTGGGCTGGGCAGTCATTGTGGGCGAAATCAGCACGGGATCGAGCTGTGCGATCAACAGTGCTCAAATCATTGCGTCGTTTGTCGAGGTCACACATCCGGATTTTGCATGGAAGGTTGGTGCCATGCAATACAACGATTCCCGAGCGAGACTGGACACTGACAGACACCCGGGTAGCCCTGGATGACATGGATCATCTATACGGGATTTCTTATCGGTCCCATCGTCATGAACTTGAAGCAGTCGTACGTATATCTTTCTTGCTGAATTTCTATTGCTCTGCTCTTCCCACGTCGACACCCCTGGACGGAATGGTCCCTTTTGCTGATATCAATTACACACAGATGGCTTCCGGGAATGAACATGGTTGGCGCCATCTGGACCATCGCTGGCGGTGTCGCGTGGGCCATTGTCTTTGGCGTCATGGCACCCAAGCACGACGCCAAGTTCATCTTTACAAAGTTCATCAACAACTCGGGCTATACCAGTGCTGGTTGGGTCTTTATCATGTCCTTCTACTCACCCATGTACGGCTTATACGGCACCGATGGGATGATGCACCTTGTATGTGCCCCGTTTTGTGGTGGTGGTGAGGAGTGGTATGCTGATATGGACGACACACAGGTTGAAGAGATGAGAAATGCTTCGAGGGATGCTCCGGTGGGCTCTATCTTTCCTGAAGGATATCTCTGTTACCGCAATGCTAACACTGGCTCAGCGCGTGATGGTCTGGTCAATGATTTTCTGCAGCATCACCAGCTGGCTCGCCGCGCTCTTGATGCTTTGGACGGCTGGCAACTGGGAAGAGTACATGCTCGGTATGCCTGTTCTCTACGTACTGTCGTCGCTCCCACGTCGTCCTGCTCTAACACTTAGTTCTCCATCTAGCATCCCAGCCCTACATGAACTGGTGGATGGACATCTGCAACAGCGTGTACGGCGGCGGTGTCTTCTGCGCGCTGGTCATGATGGGCCTCAACTTCTTCATCATCGTCGGCACCAACAACGCGGGCTCCCGCCTCGCCTGGAGCATGGCTCGCGACAAGGCGTTCCCTTACTCCGACTACTTTGCCCATGTGAGCCAGAGGTTCCACATTCCTCTGAGGGCCATGATTGCCATCTTGGTCGTGGATCTGGTGATTGGTACGTTGGTCTTGTTTTTACCATCTCCGTGTCAATTCCTGCGGCACGTCGGTGGTACTGAGTTTGATGTCTTGGTGGAGGAAGTGATCGATTGCTGACGAGAGAGTTGGATATAGGTCTTATTGTGCTGGGTAGCGATCTGGCTTTTCAGTCGATCATTTCTGGCGGAGGCGTCACTTTGCAGATTGGCTATGTGACGCCTGTTATCGTGGTGCGTGTGATCCCTCTCCCTGGTTTCTTTTTAGTCGTCCTTCTCGTCTGCCGCACTCAACGCACTGTTTTTATGTCTCTACAAGACCTGTCCACCCTTACTGCCAGTCCATACTCTCACCAGCCAGACCGACGGATCTTCGTCTTTTTCTACCTCTCTAACTCTCTTGTCTGACCTGTCAATTGTCACAGGTCCTCGTGCGCGGGCGCAAAATCCTCCCTCCACGCCCACACTTCGACCTCGGCCGATGGGGGTACCCGATCAACATCGTGTCGGTGTGCTGGTCGCTGCTCATCATCGTCATGTACCTGTGCCCGCTGTACGTGCCCGTCACGATCCCGACCATCGACTACATGAACTGGTCTTGCCTGATCGTCGGCGCCACCATCCTTTTTCCCGGCATCTACTGGGTCTGGCGCGCCCGGTTCCGGTACATCCGCGACGGCAACTCCGTGCTCGAGGATAATCTCGTGTGGATCGACGGCGTGGCTGTCGCGGGCGCGGATGCGTTGAGTGGGCGTGGCCGTGGGGCCAAGGAGTCGTGATAATGTATGGGCTAAAGGGGTGGGAGGTATGGAGGTAATGGTCAATAACTGAATGACTGGGAAAAAGAGGGAGACCGTATAGGTTGCGGGTAGAAGATATAGAGAGTCGATAGATACAACATCTCTCTATATACCACCTACAGTAAAAGAACAAAACACGATCCGTGGATTCTATGCTGGAACATATACCCTCGGTACAAGGTATATACACGACTTCTATTGCTGCGTTCTAAATCCTAGGAGGGCGATACCGTGTGTCCTGTGATACCACAAAATAAACCGCTGGTCCTTTCAGATAGACCGTCTATCCATAGCCCTCCTGATCGATGATGAATGAATGGAACAGAAACGCCCGCCCACTCGTATACTCGAAGAACTCCCTTCGGACCGGAACAAAGACGGTATATCGATCCAAAGCCAAGAACCAGCTCGAATGGTTCATCATGACAACAAAACTCCGACGCTCAAAGTCAAGATCGAGAAAAAGGACAGCAAGTCGGTGCCCGTTCCAAATCTGATCGCTCCATTACTGCTGGTCGTGGCTGTAGCCGTGGCGTTTGCTGTGTCGATCGTGGCGCTGGCCGCTGTGTTTACCGCCGAGGGCTTGGGCTGGTCGGACAAGTCGAGGCCCAGGAACAAGGTCTGCGCGCAGAGTTTCGGCAGGCTCTCGGCAAACGCGAGCTGCTGGTCCCCAGGGCAGCCCAGGACGCAGCCGATCAACGGGTCGTCCGAGGGGGAGTAGCTTTCACATTTGCATTCGTCGAGGGCGGACCCCGTCTCGGTGCCGTTGCAGTGGTTGACGGTCGGGTAGGTGCTGACGCAGTTGTCGGCGCACTGGCCGAATTGGGTGCTTGACTGGGCACGGACGAGAGAAGGGAGGAGGAGAGAGGAGGAGAGGAGGAGCAAGGAAAGGAAGTCACTTAAGCTGGAGCACATCCTCGTCTCTCCTCTTCCGAGCCAAGAAAAGGGGGTTATGTCTGAATAGGCTTTTTTGTAATAGAGGAAACCACAGATTTCTTGAGATTGAAGATGGATCCCTGAACAAGAGGAGAATATGAGAGGAAAAGATAATACATATGAAAGGAGCCGCAGAGGGCGGAAAACAGAGACACGTCCGTGTTTCTTGGGTTCTGACCCGGGTTGGGCCTGATCCCAAATTAGGAGCCCACAAGGCTGGGAGGGTGGGCGGTGCGTGCTCAGCTCGCTCGCTAACTTAAGGCTGACTGGCCGGGATCGGTCCTCGGACTGCGACTGAGTGCGTGGCCTATAATACCCTACTTCGTGCGAGTTACACTTGGCAGAGAGCTCGAGTCATGAGAATTGGACCGTCCTGGTATTGTAGTGGCTCGAGTAGACATCAAATACGAGCACCAGTGGGTTGTGTGAGGAGTGTCGGTTTCTGCTTTATCCCCTGCGGTGCATGTGAAAGAGGCTTAAGAGCACGGCGAGACAGCTGGCTGCGAGATATTGTCTGGGTGTGTCTGTAATTGTGTCGGTTACCATTGATAGGGAGGATACCTTTGTTGCGCCTCAGAGGTTCAGGGGACAAGACATCGACGCAGCATACAGAAAAGACTCGAGGTTGATAATTAAGAGGCAGTTGTGCTTCTTTTTTGGTTGGCGGGCGCAGCGGAAACGCGGGTAAAGAAAACGCGACGTCATTGTTGCGACTGGGCGAGAATTGTTCGAGGCAGCTTTCCACTGTACACCCAGATTGACATCTTTGTCTTCGTGTTCTCCTTTCGTCAAGTTCTGTATGGGTCAGTGATTGCGAGGCACTCTGCTTTCCGTCTTTGATGCGCTCCTTTTACCTCTTTGGCCGCTTTTGTGGCCAAAGGGATTTCCTGGTCTTTCGATTCACGAGCCGCGTCCGCATCTTGCACCGTCAACAGCCCTTCAGCAAATGGACCAGAAAATACAGCCTCAAGGACCCTCGACAGCGGCGCACTCCCTCCCTGCTGGCCGCGACAGTCGCTCTTTCTCCGGCAGCCTTTATCCAACTCGGGGAAGAAAATGAAGGTGGCAAGACGCGAGAGATCAAAATGCTGGAGGTGTCCAGGGAGGAGATCAGTAAAAAGGTTCCCGACGACGCCTACGGTCTCCGCCGACTCTACAAGACCGTCATCTATGTCCTCGACCAGTGGATATACGAGCCTCTTGCCACGAGCCTACGCTTCTTTCATCTGCTCGTCATCTTTGTCCCCGTCATTGTCGCCATCCCCGCTGCGTTCTTGGGTCCAAGGAGAAAAGATCACGATAACGAAAGAGTCGGGACAATATGGTGGTATGGGTTTCTGGTGAACGCCATGGAAAGAGCAGGCCCTGCTTTCATCAAACTTGGTCAATGGGCTGCGTCGAGGAGCGACATCTTCCCCGCCGAGATGTGCAGGCAGATGTCCGAGCTGCATTCCAATGCGCCCGCTCATTCTCTCCGTCATACCATCAAGACCATATCTGAGGCATTTGGTGGGAGGTCATTCAATGAAATCTTCGAGGAATTCGACGAGAAGCCTCTCGGTGTCGGCGCCATTGCCCAAGTCTACAAGGCCAGGCTCAAGCCAGACCTCGCAAAGCCAGACGATAGCGACCTCGAGGCCATAGACAAACACAGATTGAGGGATCGAATCAGGAGGAATGTAGACGCCCTTGTCAAGTCAAGCCCACAAAGGGTCCCTTCAGCTTATGTCGCTATCAAGGTCCTGCATCCAAAAGTTGAACGCAATGTTCGGCGAGATCTCAAGATCATGGGTGTCTTTGCCGCAATCATCAATGCTATCCCAACTCTCGAGTGGCTTGATCTTCCGAACGAAGTCCACAACTTCGGCGAGATGATGAGGCTGCAGTTGGATCTCCGGATAGAGGCCGCCAACCTGACCATCCTTCGGAAACACTTCCAGCATCGAACTACGGCATGGTTCCCCTTTCCATATACTGATTTTACCACTCGGACTGTCCTCGTCGAGGAGTTTGCCCAGGGCCTTCCACTTGCGGCTTTTCTAGAATCCGGAGGTGGCGCGTTCCAGAAGGATATTGCAAATGAAGGACTCGATGCTTTCTTACACATGCTTCTGATAGACAATTTTGTTCACGCCGATCTTCATCCCGGCAACATCATGGTCAATTTCTACAAGCCAGTCCATCCTGACATGGGACTGGATGTCAAGTTACCCACCTATATGTCTCGACAAGACGCATCACAGCCCGCGACAGCTTCCGAGATCGACGAGTCCGAGGCAGTTCTGTCGCGGCTACGGCCGTATATCGGCAAAAAGAGGGAATGGCTGGCTGCTCTGGACCAGCTTGACAAGGAGGGGTACATACCACAACTGATCTTCATCGACACAGGCCTCGTGACGGAACTCAACGCGAAGAACAGAGCCAATTTCTTGGATCTTTTCCGTGCCGTGGCTGAATTCGACGGTTACAAGGCTGGGCATCTGATGATTGAGCGTTGCCGCCAGCCTGATGCCGTTATTGACGGTGAAGTGTTTGCCCTCAAGATGCAGCATCTCGTCCTGGCCGTCAAGGGCCAAACTTTTGCCCTGGGCAATATTAAAATTGGTGACGTTCTTTCTTCAGTCCTCGGAATGGTGCGGGCCCATCACGTCAGGATGGAAGGCGATTTTGTGAATGTGGTCATCTCAATTCTGCTTTTGGAGGGTATTGGAAGGGCGCTGGATCCCGACCTCGATCTTTTCCAGAGCGCCCTGCCCATCCTGCGACAACTCGGATCTTCCGACCCTGGAGCCGTGCTCAAGAGCTTCAAGGAGGGCGACTTCTCCTTACTGAAGATCTGGGTGGGCCTCGAAGCACGAAGATTTTTCCAGGCCAGCGCGGAAAGTGTCGAGATGTGTGTCAAGTACGACTTACTCAGCCCCAACGTGTGAGCAGAAAGCCGCAAAGCAAGCTTCGAGCGGCAACGTCTACCTTCGATCCAACATTTTGCCCAGTTCAAAACACCAAAACTCTACTCAAACCACGCTGTATAGCTCCTCTTACCCCCAAATCTCGGCGATACCAACTGGCATCTGGTGCCGACTGGGCACACGGATGCTCTCCTTTCAGGCATTCTAGGCGCAATAAAGACGACTCAGTGCCGGGAGGCGGCAAATCTCGCTCGGCAATTGTGTATCCGAGCTGCAACTCACGAGACGAAGATGACTCTCGCTGTAATCATCATAGTGGACTGATTGCGCCCTTTTCTCTGGCTCGGTCGTTGACTGAACATCCAGAGTCAAGTCAAGAGATTGCTCAGGTAAATGAGCAGTGGAAAGGCGACAAGGCGAGCCAAAGCAACGGCGTCTGCTTGTCCAAAGTCAACCCCCTCGTTGAGCTGAAGGATGTTCTATACATAACCACGAGCCCCCTGGTATATACTGACTCGCAGACCACGCCCCCACGGCTCCCGTCGCTCTGGCATGCACCGAGGTGGGCTGATATCCGGTCTAGACACTGCCGACCGAGGCTCGCCCAGCCATCCATATTTCGAGGCGCTGGATGGGAATTACCTCGTACGGAGCACAGGACGACAAGGGTACTGGCTGTCTAGGATTCGCACTAACAATTAGCCTAATGTATTCTCTGCGCAGGATCCGAATGAAGCAGGGCTGCTCAACAGCATCTATAGGCTTTGGCATGCAGCAAAGGAGAACTCTCGGTCCACGGGATCAGGGTGTTTGTCGACTGGGAATTGTCTCTTTCCATCAGCTGCAGGATTCTTCATTCAGGCATAACCATGGTCTTCACATGCCATGGCTATGCCAAAAGGTCGTTCGAACCGCTGTATCGAGGAGATTACTCACCTCAGCCCAACATTAGCCACCCAGGTGCAATGCGACGCGTCTCGGCATGAGGGTGACGAGTCTCCGGGACTTCATATCGGTAATTGTCCTTGTGGATTCTGTATCTGTATCTATATCTACAATCACGTTTAGGGGAGTCGCTCCAACAAGGTTTGACGCCGTCGCAAGACGCTCCGCCACGGGAATTACAATATGGCCGTTCTAAACGTCTCCCGCGATATTATAGTTTTGGGGGGGGAAATCTCTCCCCCATGGAGTCTTCTCAGCTTTGTGGGGGGGGGAAGAGAGTCAAGGCCACCAGGGCCACAGTCTACCCGGGGACGGACACGGATCGGTTACGGTGCTCAGACCGCGTTACCCAAGCTCAGCAATTACCAGAAAGGACGCTTGGTCCGGGGGATTTTCCTGCCATGTACGAAATGGAATGGCCCCACGGCTATTTCCCCCTCTTTGCTTCCTGGGGCTTTGGAGCTTTGGGGGAGGCGGGTGGCTTTTTTCCTTAGGCGGAGATCAAGCCCATGGCCACCCAACCATACCACAACAGTGACCTTCCAAGAAGATCGTTCCATGCAGAGACCCTGCTTCTGTTGCATCAGATGAATACGAGCCCATCAGAGACCGCTTGGCTCCCATCGGCATGCCACCGGTCCTTCTCCTGTCAAGCTCTGTTGCCCAGCAGTGGTCATATCTTGACAAAAGTCCACAACGTCAGCCCAGGCCTGGGCTACACCCGCCCTGACTTCAAACACCGAGAGCCACCAGTCCTAACAGGTATGTACAAGGATCACCAGTGGTCAAGACGCAGGCCCCTCATGGCATGATCATCCCCACGATTGCCCATCTCTGCGTGGCAACACGACGGGACTTCGCTTCCACGAGCCTGGGGAGGTTGACCGCGTGCCATGATGAAGTCAGTGCCGGTCCCTTAAAGGCATGACGATCCTGCACCCTCGCACCTCTGTTCTCCTCCTTCTTCTTCCAGCACCCCGGTGTATTCTAACTCGTCGCATTGATACCGTCGTCCAACATGGGTGATATCAAGTCAGGAGGTGCTGGTGTGATCCTTGACCACGATGTCCTTGGGGAGAAGGCAGGCCTTGCTCATGAGGAGGCTATGCATTTCGGTGCCCTCAC